ACTCCCACAATTATACGCCCCTTCCCCCTCTCGCTTCCCTCTCGCTTCCCTCTCGTTTCACCCTCGCTTCCCTCTCGGTTTGGGGGTAAGCGATGTAGATAGATAGATAGATAATGTGTGCATATGTGAGAGAGAGAGAGAGAGAGAGAGAGAGAGAGCACAGGTAACCATAGCAATACACCTGTGCATTCATTAACCTCTACCTCTCAGGTATACTTCAAGACCTTACTTATATAGTGTAAGTATTGGTGTGTAAGTAATGGTGTGTACGTATTGGTATGTAAGTAATGATATGTAAGTAATGGCGTGTAAGCATGTAAAATGTTGTTGGTGATAATGACACACACACCTGTTATACCATAGTACAGGTGAGACAGGTGTAATGGTGGGTTAATTACGCTATACAGGTGAGATATGTTACGGGTTAAGAGAGAGAGTTCGAACACACAAACACACACACACACACACACACACACACACACACACACACACACACCCAAGACCTTGACCCCATCAAAGGTCATTTTCACACCCATTTCCGGAGGTAAATGGTAGGTAGGGTTGACCTCCTCCCCCCTCCCTTCCTCTCCTCCCTACCCATGTCTCTCCCTCACCCTTCTACTCTCCCTATCATCTCTTTTCTCCTCTCCTATCCTCCTCTTATCTTCCCCCTTCTCCTTACCCTCCCCTTCCCCCCTCACCCCTCCCCCATGAATGGTAGGGGAGGGGGGGGGGAAAGGGAGGGGGTACCGGTGATCCTACCCTCACTTTTACCTGTATGAGTAAAGGTTAAACTACATTTACCTTTCTGTTACCTTAAGTCACGACCTTCCCTTCTCCCTCCCTTCACCTCCCTTCACCCCCCTTTCTCCCTATCTTCATTCACTCCCTTCATTTCTTTCACTTTCTCCCTTACTCCCTCCCTTTACTTCCTTCCTCCCTCACTCCTTCCTTACTGTTCTCCCTCCCTTCCCTCCCTCCTTCCCTCATTTAAACTCTCCTATTGAAGTAGAAGAGGGGAGGTGAGAAAGGGCAAGAGGAAGGGAGAGGGAGGAAAAGGGAGATGTAGACGGGGAGGGGCAGGGGAGGGGCAGGAAGGGCAAGGGGGAGGGGCAATAGTTTCATCACATTGGTCGTGGTCTCAAGGCATCTTATTCATCTTCTGTTGCAAGCTTCTACCCGGGGGATGGGCGTGGGCGGGTATGTGTGGGCGTGGGTGGGGGTGAAAATGTGTGAGTGGGAGTATGTGGGGGGCGTGGGTATGAGTGGGCGTGGGTATGAGTGGGTGTGGATATAAGTGGACGTTGGTGGGCGTGGGTATTTATAGGTGTAGGTAGACGTGGGTATGTGTGGGCGTGAGAATGTGTGGGCGTGGGTATGTATGGGTGTAGGTAGACGTGGGTATGTGTGGGCGTGAGTACGAATGGGCGTGGATATGTGTGGGCGTGAGAATATGTGGGCGTGGGTATATGTGGTGTGGGCGTGGATATGAGTGGGCGTGGGCGTGAGAACTTGACCCCTCTGCCACCATCCCTGACACAAGCCACCCGTGGGAAATTCTGCCATTGTACCAGTCCTCCTAGACCTCCTCCTCCTCCTTCATCATCTTCTCCACCTTTCCCTTCTCCTCTTTCTCTTTCTCCTACACCTCCTCCTCTTTCTCTTAGCACTCCTTCTTCCCTCATTTACCCTCCTCCTCCTCCTCTCTGCCCCCCCACCTGGCCTCTTGAAAAATAATCCATGTATGTATATGTATAGATAAAGGATGTATGTATGCATGTTTTATCTTCACTTATCTTAACTTTCCCCCTGCCGCTAGGAACCCCGTGGCGCTACAAGACGTCCCCTAACCTCCCTGGACGGTGACACACACACACACACACACACACACACACACACACACACACACACACACACACACACACACACACACACACACACACACACACACACACACACACACACACACACACGAGATCCGTATATGAATTTGGATCTTGAAATGTGAAACCACCCAATAAATGATAATAATTAAATTGCACTGCTGTCGTGTGTGTGTGTGTGTGTGTGTGTGTGTGTGTGTGTGTGTGTGTGTGTGTGTGAGAGAAAGACTTTCACAATGCCTCCTTTCGTCTCCTTTCCTTCATCACCTTTCTAATTACATAACTCCCTCATCCCGTTTTCTATAAGCCCCTCGGTGGTGGGTGCCAACAAGCACAGTAATTAGGACCAATTATCACGATTAAATTATAATTGATGATGTTCTTACCTGTGTTGTATATTAACCGTTACCTGAGATGGTCACCTGTGTGGTCTCTCTCTCTCTCTCTCTCTCTCTCTCTCTCTCTCTCTCTCTTTCTCTCACCTAACCTAACCTAACCACATCGTCTCTCGCCAGGTAAGGTTATGTCATCCTACGTGACATCCTTAATAAGCAACTGCAACATCCTGATGGTGTGTGTGTATGAGAGAGAGAGAGAGAGAGAGAGAGAGAGAGAGAGAGAGAGAGAGAGAGAGAGAGAGAGAAGATGCTCCAGAGCACAAAAACTGGTCTTGGGGCATCTTCCTCAAGAGAGGGAGGAAGGAAGGGTACGGAGTGAGGAAAGAGGGGAAGGAGGGGGTAGGGGAGGGTAGGAGGGAGGGACAACTCTCCAGGTGGACCCACAAACACTAGCAACATGACAGGTAGTGTTAGAGTCTCCTTCACTCCCACATACATAAGAACATAAGAATGGAGGAAACTGCAGCGAGCCTATTGGCCCATACTGACGTCACGTCTAGACCACGATGACGTCACTTCCAGACCCTACTGACATCACTTCCAGGCTACACTAACGTCACTTCCAGGTCACACTGACGTCACTTCCAGGTGACACTGACGTCACTTCCGTCACTTCCAGGCCACACTGACGTCACTTCCGTCATTTCCACGCCAGACGGACGTTATAAGAGGTTACCCTGACATCGAGAGGTCAAATTTGGACCCCCCCCCCCTATCATAAAACACATATACAACAGTTAAACAAAAGATGTCCATTGGCTGGTTTACTGTTCACTAACACGCAGGAAATATATCACGCCGGGGGGGGGTTAGAATCTATTTCATCCACTAATATATAGATGGTGTATGGTGACAGAGGTACACACACACACACACACACACACACACACACACACACACACACACACACACACACACACACGAGCACGAGCACCTTGAAGCAGAATATTCCTTTCCCAGGTAACTACATAATTATGTTAATTAGTTTTTACCTCACCTGTCACACCTGATTGTAATGTATTGTGTGTGTGTGTGTGAGTGTGAGGGGGTGTATGTTTTTGCTGTAATTTATATTGGAGATAACTCTTTGATACTCAGTAATACCTGTACTTGTATGTATACCTGTACTTGTATGTGTACCTGTACTTGTATGTATACCTGTACTTGTATGTGTACCTGTACTTGTATGTGTACCTGTACTTGTATGTGTACCTGTACTTGTATGTGTACCTGTACTTGTATGTGTACCTGTACTTGTATGTGTACCTGTACTAGTATGTGTACCTGTACTTGTATGTGTACCTGTACTTGTATGTGTACCTGTACTTGTATGTGTACCTGTACTTGTATGTGTACCTGTACTTGTATGTGTACCTGTACTTATATGTGTACCTGTACTTATATGTGTACCTGTACTTATATGTGTACCTGTACTTGTATGTGTACCTGTGCTTGTATGTGTACCTGTACTTATATGTGTACCTGTACTTGTATGTGTACCTGTACTTATATGTGTACCTGTACTTGTATGTACCTTGCTTGTATGTATACCTGTACTTGTATGTGTGCACCTGTACTTGTATGTATACCTGTACTTGTATGTGTACCTGTACTTGTATGTGTACCTGTACTTGTATGTGTACCTGTACTTGTATGTATACCTGTACTTGTATGTGTACCTGTACTTGTATGTATACCTGTACTTGTGGTGTACCTGTGCTTGTAGGTGTACCTGTACTTGTATGTGTACCTGTACTTGTATGTATACCTGTACTTGTATGTGTACCTGTACTTGTGTGTATACCTGTACTTGTGTGTGCCTGTGCTTGTATGTACTTTGTGTACCGCTGTTTTCTACATGTATACCTGTGCTTGTGTGTACCTGTACTTGTATGTGTACCTGTACTGTGTATGTGCACCTGTACTTGTATGTATACCTGTACTTGTATGTGTACCAGTACTTGTATGTATACCTGTACTTGTATGTATACCTGTACTTGTATGTGTACCAGTACTTGTATGTATACCTGTACTAGCATGTATACCTGTACTTGTATGTATACCTGTGCATGTGTGTAATTATGATGGTGCAGGTAAAAGGAATATTGATAATTAAGAAACAACAACAACAACAACAACAGCAACAACAACAACAACAACAACAACAACAACAACAACAACAACAACAGCAAGGTAGAGGGACAGTAATGACCGTGACCTCTCAGGTATACCTTGACCCTATAGTCCTTTATCCCCCCAACACCGGCTCATGGTCACATAATATTACCTGAGACAATACTGTGTGTGTGTGTGTGTGTGTGTGTGTGTGTGTGTGTGTGTGTGTGTGTGTGTTACCGTCATCATTCCTTTGTGTGAGTTATCATTATTATTATCATCTTATTTTCTTGTCTTTTTTTTCCATGTGATGTGAAATTATATAGTTGTTCGTCTCTTAGCACCTTCAGGTAGGTCTTGGGGTAGGTCTTGGGGTAGGTCTTGGGGTAGGTCTTGGGGTAGGTCTTGTCTTGGGTAGGTCTTGTAGTCTTGTAGTCTTGTAGGTCTTGGGGTAGGTCTTGGGGTAGGTCTTGGGGTAGGTCTTTGGGTAGGTCTTGAGGCAGGTCTTGAGGTAGGTCTTGGGGTGGTCTTGGGTCAGGTCTTAGGGTAGGTCTTGGGGTCTTAGTGGAGTCTTGTAGGTAGGTCTTAGGGTGGTCAGGGTGTCTTAGGTAGGTCTTGGGGAGTGGGTCTTGGGGTGGTCTCGAGGGTAGGTCTTGGGTAGTCTTGAGGCAGGGTCTTGAGGTAGGTCTTGGGGTGGTCTTGGGGTAGGTCTTGAGTAGGTCTTGCAGGTCTTAGGAGGGAGTCTTAGGTGGGTCTTGGGTAGGTCTTGGGAGTGGGTCTTGGGGTAGGTCTTGGGGTAGGTCTTGGGGTAGGTCTTGGGGTAGGTCTTGTGGTAGGTCTTGAGGTAGTCTTGAGGTAGGTCTTGGGGTAGGTCTTCTTCAGGTATCAGGTATCCTCAGATAGATCTTCAACCATTGGTCACACAGTCAGCGTAGGTAACCATACCGGACCAATAACATGAAGCCATTTACCCAAACACACGTTACCTTGGCCAATAGCATGATGCCCTCCACCCACTCACACCATAACCTGACCAATGAGCGTCTAGTATTCACACCTGGATAATAATTTATTGTCCTTACGATACAAAGACAATTACGATACATACTTTTACGTTACATAAAACTGTATTTATTTTGTGTCTGTTGTATATTTAAAGTTGCAGGTACACAGAAAGGCATAGTTACAGGCATATAATGACGCAACACAAGGGAGGCAACACACAATGGACGCAACACACAGGGGTGGCAACATACAGGGCAGGCAACACACGGGCGGCAACACACAAGAGACGCCACACACAAGGGACCAAGGGACGCAACACACACGGTAGGCAACACACAGGGGACGCAACACACAAGCGAGGCAACACAACAATGGCTCAAAGTTACACAATGGTTGTCAATCGCAATTACCAGCGGCGTCGTGCAGGGTAGTGTGGAACCTCTGCTGTTTGGAAAGTCAGGACGTGAGAGAGAGAGAGAGAGAGTAAATATACAAAAAGTATATAGAGAAAATAGATAAATATAATTATGTGTGTGTGTGTGTATGTGTGTGTATCTGTCCATCTGCCTAAACTATGATCACACACACACACACACACACAGTACTTTCCTTCTGGTGATAGACAGAGACTGACAGACGCAGGTAATGATGAGTAAGTGTTGATATATTACATAACACGACGTCTTGCTCAACATCCTCACACAGCTGTACGAGAGAGAGAGAGAGAGAGAGAGAGAGAGAGAGAGAGAGATTACATTACCGAACCCATCCAGGTATTTGGAGGTAATAACAGTCCAGGTAGGAAGCAGCATAACCCCCCCTCCTTCTACCTCCCCCTATACCTCCCCCATCCTCTCCCCTGCCCCCCCCCAACCCCCTCCTCCTTCCCTCACCTGAACTGTCTACCTCACTTCGTTGTTACCTATGCAGGAGAATACAAGGAATACAGTATGTTGCTCTTAGTGTGAGATGACTCTATCTCCCCACATACTCTCTCTCTCTCTCTCTCCTCTCACATTATCTTTCTCTCTCATTACACTCTCTCTCTCTCTTTATCACATTCTCTTTCTACTCTCACTATCTTTCTCCCTCTTTCTCCTAACCACACCTATAATCGTCTTGGCATTGGTGTGTGTGTAATGTGTGTGTGTGTGTGTGTGTTGATAAGTGTTTAAACTTGGTGTTTTAAATGAGGTATAATTTTAAAGGGGTTAGTCCACTTCCTAGATGACACACACACACACACACACACACACACACACACACACACAGACACACACACACACACACACACACACACACACACACACACACACACACACACACACACACACACACACACACACAGGAGGAAAAAGAGATGCACTGAGCGTGTGTAGTTTCCCCAGCAGACAATTGGTGAGAATGAGAGGAACCCAGAGGTAGCCACCTTCGACAGGTGGGTCGTGGCTCACCTTTTCACCACCTATGGGTCACGCTAATTAACACCCCAGGTACAACAGGTAAAAAAGGAGGTGGAGGAGGAGGGTACCATGATGACAGGTGTGAGGAGAGGTGTGTAGTAAAAATACATGGGGGAGGTATCAGGATGGTATTGTGAGAGTAGTAAGGATTAGTATCATGGTATGGTGGTACGTGTATGGTGCAATATGATGGTACTAGTGAGGTTAACGTACCATGAGGGTAGTTGTGTTGTGTGTGGTACCATTATGTGAGACCTGTACTCTCTCTCTCTCTCTCTCTCTTAATACAGTAATTGAATTGGCAAAAGAATTTTTACGATGTCTTCCTCCCACTCCTCTTCCTGCCCCTCCTCTTCCTCCCCCTCCTCTTCCTCCCACTCCTCCTCCTCCTTCTCCTTAATTTCCTTCACATTTTCATCTTCTTCGTTTCCCTTCCTGTCTTCCCCTTCCTCCTCAACTTCCTCTTCCCCCTTTCTACTCTCCTTCCCCCTTCTCCTCTTCTCCACTCCTCTCCACCTCCCTTTACTTACTCTCCTCTCCTCTCCTTCACTCCCATCCTTCCTCACAACCTTACAGTAATCAGGGGTGCCACAGTAGCTCTTCTCACACAACAAACACTCACACTTCTCAGGTATTTAACTTAAGTGTGACACGGCCGCCTCTGGCACACTTGTTAAGCACTTAACATGTGGGAGAGTGTGTGGGAGAGTGTCACGATACCTGAGTGTGTTGGTGTGTGCGTGTGTGAAGAGAGCACACACACACACACACACACACACACACACACACACACACACTCAAAACAGAATACAAATATTTTGAGAGAGAGAATCTATCAGAGGTCAAAGGTTATGACCTATCTGTCTGTCTGTCTGTCTGTCTGGTTGTCTGTCTGTCTGTCTGTCTGTCTGTCTCTCTTATTTGATCTATCTTTATGTGTATTTATTCCAGTAATTACATGAAAGTAAGAATAAGAGAGAGAGAGAGAAGAGAGAGGAGAGAGAGAGAGAGAGAGAGAGAGAGAGAGAGAGAGAGAGAGAGAGAGAGCACACCTTCCATACCCATCCACCCTCCCTCCCCCCATATTAACTCCACAACCTGGGTATTGTCTTGGGCTGAATGACTTAGTGTGTGTGTGTGTGTGTGTGTGTGTGTGTGTGTGTGTGTGTGTGTGTGTGTGTGTGTGTGTGTGTGTGTGTGTGTGTGAGTATGTGTGTGTGTGTGTGTGTGTGTGTGTGTGTGTGTGTGTGTGTGTGTGTTTAACCTCCGTGCTCTTAGAAGGGAGGAAGGTGATTATCAGGAAAGTAAGACAGGTAATATGATAATTAGGAGGTAATTGAAGGTATGTAAATATAGTTATGAGACAGACAAACGAACTACTACTACTAATACTTAATTAACTACTACTACTACTACTACTACTACTATTAATACTACTAATTAATACTACTACTACTACTACTACTAATAATAATATAATAATAATAATAATAATAATAATAATAATAATAATAATAATAATAATATAATAATAATAATAAAGAGAAAGAAGAGTAAGAACAAAGAACAAGAACAAGAAGAACAAGAAGAACAAGAAGAACAAGAAGAAGAAGAAGAAGAAGTAGAAGAAGGAAAAAGAAGAAGAAGAACAAAAGAACAAGAACAACAAGAACAACAAGAACAAGAACAAGAAACAATAAGAACAAGACACACTTAATGCTCCTACAATAACCCAAACATTACCTCACACTTATATAACACACTTTACCTCACACTCTTCTACTTAAATGATCAACTTATCGTCGTTTACCTCTGTTTATTATCGTTTATTACCGTTTGGTTATGTTTTTCATTTATTGATTTGTTTTTGCTGTTGTAAGGAGACAGGTACAGGTACAGGTACAGGTACAGGTACAGGTACAGGTACAGGTACAGGTATAGGTACAGGTATAGGTATAGGTACAGGTACAGGTATAGGTACAGGTACAGGTACAGGTACAGGTATAGGTACAGGTACAGGTACAGGTACAGGTATAGGTACAGGTACAGGTATGTACAGGTACAGGTACAGGTACAGGTATGTGTATAGGTACAGGTACAGGTACAGGTACAGGTATAGGTACAGGTACAGGTACAGGTACAGGTATAGGTACAGGCAGGTATAGTCAGGTACAGGTACAGGTA